GTATATAACCTGCATTGTTCTGAATCTTCAGCTGGAAGTTATTCTCTCATGTGGTTTACACTTATGATGTTCTGTTTTGTACCAGTCATTTCTCAAACTAAACAATAAGCCTATTGAAATAGGGATTATGATATATATATATCTTTATAGCCTCCCATAGACTCTAAACTAAAGCCTTACATGTAGAAGGTGCAAATACATCAGTACTGACTAAATAAATGAAGGTCTAGCAATGGGACTTTCTGCCTGCTGGCATAATCACACGAATCATTAATTTGTTCCATTTACAAAAATAACACAAAGGCTTGATTTAATCTGATGCCTTAGCTTCCCTGAAAATAGAACAAACAGGGATTAATGTAGGTGAAATTCCATGACATTATCTTTGTCACCATTTACTCTTTGATTAAAAAAGAGGTACTTACTGAGTACATTCTCTGTGCCAAGCACCTGGCGTAAGGCCTGTACTCCACCGTAACCATCATCCTCCAAGCCACAACCTGTCCTCACCCTAAGACAGATTCCAAAGCTGGCAGCAGCTCTCACCAGCCACGAGGCTGTTTGTGCTTATTTTAAAACTGAAGAGCAGCCTGCCTACTATTTAATTTCAGTTACGTGAGAAGACCCTTTGCTGACAGCCTCTGTTCCCTCTCCACTAATCATGACGAAGTGAGAGGATGGTCACAAAGGAAAATCACTTATTTCGCTGGGCACAACTCTAAAACACATATTGTAGTATTTTTGTTATACTGGTTTTAATTTTCTCCCGTTCGGAACACCTTCACCTTATCTGAACGCAGGCTCCCACGGTATAATCACCAATCTGATTCTGTCTCTTGAAGTGGAGTTTTGCATAAGATTTCCTAAAAGGAATGATTCTGGGCAATATGTTCTCACAAGGGGATTTCCTCTGGGTGAAAAACAAGTTTCAGAGACAAAAGTTTGGCCCTCCCAACTCTGCCCCATGGCAATTAAGGAAGACGATCGTACGTGATCAGCCCTATGAGATATTTATCTTCTAAGAAAATAAGAGGCTCAGTGATATTCTTAAAATGTAATAACCAGTACTCCTCAAAAATGGCAAAGTCATCAAAAACAAGGAAAGTCTGAGAAACTGTCACAGCCACGAGGAACCCAAGGAGACTTGACTACTAAATGTAATACAGTGTAATATAGTGTCCTGGATGGAATCTTAGAAGAGAAAAAAAGAAAAAAAAAACTGAATAAAAGAAGGTCTTTAGTTAATAATAATGTATCAATATTGACTCACTAATTATGGCAAATGTACAATACTAATTAATCTTAGATGTTAATAGGGGATTCTGAGTATGGAACATTGGGAACTCTGTCTTTACAATTTTTCTAAAATTATTCTAAACTAAAAGGTTTATTGGGAAAACAGGTCTATTTAGGAAGAAAAAAAGGGAAAATGACCGTTTTCTACCTCCTTCTCATTCAGCAAAGACACTCAAGTGGAATTCACTGAAACAAACAGGACATAATACACCACAGAATATTTTTAAAGTGAAGTATTATCTGAATTTATGCAGCTCATTCACACATCACCTTACGTCACGGTTTTCCAATTTAAAAAAAAAATTGGATATGAAATGCACTTGACATTATATAGTTAGTTTACCTGGGGCTGAGATCAAGCAAGTCTAAGGATTTGGTCTTCAATTCTCCACTCTTTTCATATTCCAACATAATTCCTGTAAAAAGAAACAAACATGTTATAAAACATTTATGATGACAACCTATGTGAAAAGTTAATCTAGGGCCGGCTGAGTGGCTCAGTTGGTTAAGTTAATGTAAGAGTGTGAGCTCTGAGCAACAGGGTTGCCGGTTCGATTCCCACATGGGCCAGTGACGCTGCGCTGGAGCTGAGCTGCCACTGNCCATAGAGAAAAATAAGCACATTTACACTGCATTAAAATTTTTATATAAGCACTAGAGTTCTCATGGTGATCACTTCATAAGGTATATAAATGTCAAATCACTGTTGTACACCTAAAACTAATATAATATTGCATGTCAACTATACTTTAATTAAAAAGAGACTTATGTTCCAGAATTTTTTAAATTGTTATATAAGCCACATTAATAAATAATTTATCAAAATATGGTTTAGTTCACATGAAAGCAGAAAGTCTAAAATATTAATGTAACCATGAAACACAACTTCTTAATATTACTCTAACTGGGAAAATAATTTTAATTATTCAATAACGTAAAATTACCTTAATGATTATCATTTAAATGTATCATTATAAAAGAATAGCTAAATTTACTACAAATATTAAACCTCTCAAGAAAACAATAAATTTCATTCACTCATTCAACCAACATTTATTGAGATTTAGTCTTCACAAATACAAGGTGTGATAAAAAAAATACAGTTAATGTTTAAATTAAAAAATTTATTACAGTAAAAGACACATTTCCATTAATCCGCCTCAAGATACTCCCCCTCACTTTGAAGACACTTATCCCATCATTCTTGCCACTTTCTGAAGCAGCTCTGGAAGTCCTCTTTCATGAGTGTCTTTACTTCATCGTCCATCATGACAACGCTCTGTGTCACACATCGCTTCTGTCAAATAAAAACATTATGATGTGTCCTCATTCACCTTATTCACCAGGCCTCACACCATGAAACTTCTGGCTCTTCCCCAAAGTCAAAATGACCATGAAAGATAAACGTTTTGAATTGATTGAGGACATTGAGGCAGCCACAACAGCGCAACTAAAGACACTCATGAAAAGGACTTCCAGAACTGCTTCAGAAAGTGGCAAGAATGATAGGATAAGTGTGTCCAAAGCGAGGGGGAGTATTTTGAGGGGAATTGATTAATGGCAATGTGCCTTTTGTTATAATAATTTTTTTTTAATTTAAACATTCACCGTATGTTCTGATCACACCTCATATATGTGAGGCACAGAGGGAAAGAGAAAACAAGATTTGTATTTGACCTCCAATTAATAGGATATCAATTAATCGTTCTTCCACCTAGTATTTTTAAAACACACATTACCTTAAAAAGATAGAACTGGTGGTTGCTGTGCTGCCCAAGTTTATCTTGTAGCCTCTGTATTAAAAGTTTTACTTGGTCTGATCGGGAAGCTATGATTAGAGGTTCTGCTTCCTGTATCTCTTCTACTAAGGCATTGACATCAGTACTGAAATTCACACACACACACACACACACAAAAAAAAATGTTACTTTTTTTCTATACCAAACATTGTATATTCATTCATTACATGAAGAGTTGCATTGCGTTATGAAGCATAGCATTTATAAAATGTCAAGAACACCATCATCTTAAACCAAGAGACTTCTGGAAAAATGTCACATAAATCAAAGAGCACTGTGTACAGATGAAAATGTCCTGAGTTCTCCAGAAATCACTTTCATTACTGAGACATCTCCGGTGGAAGGGGTGCAAAGGCCCTCATTTGCTCACCCACAAAGGCCAAGGGCGTGCTGGTCCTGCACATGAGCTCTTTCTCTTTATTTTATTTTTCTGGGTTTTTTTTTCTTTCAAATGAACATGTATCGAATGTTCGTGGCACTACTATACTTTCCACTTCACATCCACCCCCTGATTTAATCCTGTAACAACCCTCTAATTTAATGCTTTCATTATAATTATTTTAGTGATGAAGAAACGGGGACTCAGAAAGGTTCAGTTTTAAATGTGTTTAGGAAAAGAGAAAGTACCTGACCAAAGGTAAACACTCAAAGAATGATGATTATTAATGTTTCTTATTTGTTCTAATATGATTTCCCTGAGAGAAAACTGGTCTGACCAGTACAGATTCAAGGTCTCCCCCCAAACTCAAATAATCTATAGCAATTCTGGTAAACTTTGCTAGTCCACAAAAATATTACAGCAAGACAAATATTAGTGTCTATAAACCACAGAGCATCCAAAATAAGGTAATTTTGCAAAACATGTGTCACAGGTGCACTGTTCAGGGCTCTCCCTTCAAGAAAGGCCTCATTATCACAATAATCAATAATGTGCTAATAACTCTGTATAGTGCCAGGTGGAGCTATGATGTACACCAGAAACTAATATAATATGGTATGTTAGCTATATTTTAATAAAAATCTTTAAAATATACAAAACTAAAAAAGAAAGAAAGGCCTCGTGGCCCAGCCGCGAGCGAGGTGTTTAGATAGCAGGCAGCCTCTAGCTACAGTGTCTTCAGGATTCACCTCAGCATCTGAGCCCTGGGCTGGGTCTTCATGGCCCCCATTCCAGGGATAAGCAAAGGGACGATGTGAGAGCCTGGCCGCTTCTGCCCCATGAGGGACTGCTCTAACCAGCAAGCTTTCCTCTGGGGCTCCCCTTTGGGCTGGCTGAGGCTGCCATCAAACCCACACCATCCTGGAGATGGATGGTGTCTCCTGCAGGACCCTGCTTCAAACCCTGGTCTGTCACAGGAGTCACTACCCAGGTAACTTTTTACCACCTACCTCTGTCCCAGCACCTGCTTACCAGAAACATGAGCTCTGATAAGTCTCCTCCCCCTCCTCCTAAATAAACCTTTCTTGAGCTCCAGTTGTGTGCAAGACGCAGACCTAGGGGACTATTCATTCCACTTCCATGGATTGAGTAGTATTGTAGGCTAGGCGCTGGGCGTGTGAAAGGATGGTCCCAGCTCTCAGGAAGTACAAATCTATCAGAACAGGAGTGCATGTTTGGAAGAGAAATGCATCGGAGAGCTTATAATAGTGACTTTGATAAATTCCGAGAGTCAGATGTCAAAAGAGTTACATTTTCATAAGAATTAAAAAGATAATAATGCCCCCTTGGAAAAGTTTCCAACAAATATTATGAATCAATACAGATTTCCTAGCAAGATCTAAATTAACCAGATATTTAATCCATACATCCCAACCCTGTGGCTCTATTGTAATTGCTATTTTCTATGGCAGTAACTCCAGCATGTCATATATAATGCAAGTGTTTTTATGTGCAGATTACATCCAGATTTTTAGGGAAAATTGGAAATAAGATCTATACTTTT